CCACACGGTGTTCTCCTCCTTGGCATGTAAAGTGGCAAAACTGGCACCTCCCCCTTTTTTCTTTCCTTTATATTTATTCTAATTTTGTAACAATTGGACTTTAGGCCTTTTAATTAATTCTTCAAGTCATTGAGTCTTTTTGTTCTCTTTTCTCTCAAATTCTACAATTTTATTATTTTTCTCCTACAAATCTTAAATAAATAATATATATCAAAATCAGGTAGAATCTAATTAAAATCAACCAAATATCGCAAATAATATAAATATTTAACGCATATGATTTCTGGCTATCAACTATTCAATCCATTTAATTTATATTTAATCTCGGATGACCTAGCACCGTCTTATCAACGGAAGTTGGCCTGATACCGCCCAACTCCGAGGATATTACATAGCAAACATCAAAAGATATTCATGTGTTTAAAAATTACTTGGAATGTTCTTAGGTTGGCATTGACAATAAATCAAACATAGACAATAATAATTCAGCACTCATGATAAGTGAGATATTTGATTAAAAAATCTTCAATATATATGTTTCCATTAATGATAAAAGCTGGAAATGTGTAAATTAATTGATTGAGGCTTGAGAACATTATTGTATGAAATTAATTAATTAATATTAATTTATTAGAATGAACCAAAGTCCCCTAGATACATATTGGTTCAGATGAGTTAGGTTGTCATATTGTGTGTTTTATATCAACTTTCTCGCATTTTAAGTAATGTGAATACAATGCACTTAACATTCGTGATTGTTATGAGAAAAGAAAGAAATAGATTTTAATTTATTATTTTTTTGATTGATGTAATTGAGTAACAGTGATAATAATTAATCAATGGACTCAGTATGTAATCTCTATCATTTTTTTTATTTTTGTTAAAATAATAAATTGAAATTTTTTATTTCAATTATAAAAATTCGTACATATTTATAATGACGTACAAATATTCTGAATAATGCAAGAATCCTACAAATCTATTAGATAACTACCATAAATATAATATATATTTTTTAAATATATTTTAATACCCCTTCTTAAACTCAAAATATGATCGAACAAATTTGAATTTGTCAGAAGTGATAAAAAAGGGTATAGCCGAGATCTTCCACGAACGAACTTGAATTTGTCATTGACTGAAAGTGGTATAGTCGTCCACTGGGTCAGAGTCAAAAGCAGAACTCTCAACACCGTTAGAGTTGAAAACAGAACTCGCTCGCTCACTCACAACAAAACTAGAGTCGAAAACATGACTCATTCACTCTTAATGGAGTTAGAGTTGGAAATAGAACTCGCTCGCTTACAACAGAGCTAGAGTCGGAAACATGACTCCCTCGCTCTAAATAGAGTTAGAGTCGAAAACATGACTCTCAACGACATTAGAGTCGAAAGTAGACTCTGTCAGTTGAGTAGTAGAGACTGGGACCGTATGAAAATAACAACATGACCGTGAATAGAAGCAGATACATCAATAAAGTATAAAAATATATATGAGATATAACGGGTTATGGATGTACTCGGAGAGAATTTGGCTCTATTTCAATAATAAGAATTCATACATTCGTACAAATCATATGAACAATACAAGAATCTTACAAATCTCTTAAATAAGATAACTACAATAAATATAATATATATTTTCTAAATACATTTTAACATTTTTTAATTTGAGAAAATATATTATAGTATATAATAATAATAATTATTATTATTTAATAAAAGTGCATTCTAATATGTTTATTCTTGAAATAAAATATATTATACTAGATGTTATTATAGGATTTGCTATTAAAATATGTATTTATATATTCTCCGTCCGTCTCTAACGGTCACATTTACTTTTTGCGTCATTGTATTTAGTAATGAAAATATTCTTATATTTGTATAATTTTTTATACAAGTGTCATTCTATTAGTATTATAAGACACTAATGAAAGTATTTTAGTAATTTTTTTTTCTAATTTGTACTTTCTTTTGATATAATAACTAAGGCTAAATTGCACAAAACCTACGTATGGTTTCATAAAATTGTGTCAAATCCCCTATATTTTTAAAAAATTGCGTCAAACTCCATCGTGGTTTTATAAACACTGCATTTAACTCCTTCGGCGGTCCTTATTTAACGGTATTTAACTTAAATGCGCCAAAACTGCAAATAAATTTTAGAATATAAATTTCTAAACTCCTAAAATTAAAATATATTCAATTTTCTTATATTTAGCCTCAAAAATAGTAAATATACTAAAAAAATAGTTATTTTTATCGGGTTATAAGAGTTTATTATTATTATTATTTTTAGGCTAAATATAAAAAAATAAATATATTTATAATGTTAGGGTTTAGAAATTGAGATTATAAAATCTATTAGTAATTTTGGGCGCATTTAGGTCAAATATCCTTAAATAAGGACCGCGAAAGAGCTAGATGCAAAGTTTATGAAACCACTATGGAGTTTAATGCAATTTTAGAAGTAGAATGAATTTGGCGCAATTTCGTGAAACCACGTATAAATTATTGCAATTTTGCGTAATAATTAATATTCAAAAGATATACGGACTGTCTGGTCTTTTTATTACATTTTTTTTTTAATATATGTGGAATGGATAAATCTGTACATTAACCAAAGCGTGTAGACCAATTATGATAGTAATAATTCATTTTAGTAATATTAAAAGGAATTTGTTGAGTAATCATTACATACAAACACTCTATTTATGAATAATCACGTTTATTGTACTGTTATTGTTATCATATACAACTGTACCATCAACATTATCGCAAACAAACATGGTGCACTTTTTAAATTATTTATAATAAATAAATAATAAGTTAAAATGTGCTCATTCGTCCAAATTGAAATATTATTTTTATATATTCCGCTATAAAATATTACTCTCTCCATCCCATTTTGGATGTCTAGATCACTATAGACACGAGAATTTAAAATAAGTATAATTAATAGATAATTAAAAATGTATTAATAAAAATAATTATCTTATAATATAAATAATTATAGATTAAGATTAAAATAATTAATTAGTTTAATTAAAATTAAAAAAATTAAATTAGAAAATTTAAAATGAGATTAAAGTGTATAATCATTTTTTTAAAAAAAGAAAGTGACATAGAACGTTGGACGAACATAAACGACAATATGGACATGGTAGGTAGGACGGAGGGAATATTTTTTTACTATAACAAAAGTAATTATATACTAATAATAAAATAATCTTATCTTTTATCCAAATTACCAATATATCATACATACAATTAATAAATACAATACTATTATATCTTAATATAATATAATAATCCAAAAAATACTTTAGATGGAGACAAAGAGAGTATCTAATTTGATACTGTTTGTTTGTTTGGAGGATTGGATTTTGAGTTGGGATTTGAATAGTAAAAATTTTGAATTTGAATAGTTGTATGATGTGATATAAATAGGTGTTGATGTGATGTTTTGAATGTAAAATTAATTTTTAGTATAATATAAAAAATGAAAAATAGGTGTTTGATTTGATGTTTTTGGGGGGAAAAAATTGGATGAATAGTAAAAAAAAAATCCAATCCCTCAAACAAATTTAATCAAAGATAAAAATTGATGCGACTCCAAATAAGATACTGTTCTAGACAAATACTTTTAATTATTCATATGTATGTGTGACATCAAATAAGAGTGTATCTGTTTCGGAGTTTGGATTTTGGATTTGAATTTTTGAGGATTTTGAAGTATAAATTTTTAAGTTGCGTTTGTTTGGGGGTTTTGAATTTTGTAATATTTATGTTGGAAGAAATTATTAATTTAATAAAAAAAATAATATATTGATGTGATAGTTTGAATTAAATGGTATTTATATATAATTAATAAATATTTTAAAAATGATTGAAACGAAAGTTTGATATAATATTTTAAAAAATATGAATATATTCTATTATTAAATTATATTTGTTTATTTTGTGTGTATAAAGGTTGATTTGATAGAACAAATAAGAATATAGTCACCATCAATTTTACATACAGATTAAAAATTACTAAAATTTTAATAATAGCTGGCATTATTAGTTGTGTTGAGACATTTATATTCTTACTAAAAAAAATAATGGTATGTAATACTATGGTTGTAAATAAATGTAAAAGTAGAGATATTATTATATATATGTGTATAATGATTGATAGTTACTAAAAATGAAAAGATGAGTTTGAATTGAATAAATAAAAATATAAATATAAAACCTTAGAGGTGAACAGTATAATAATATTAGTATTATTGAGGTCATGATTATTATTTAAATTAGATACAAAATAAATTGTAAAGAAAGGTATAACAACTAAAATAAAACTTAGGTAGATTGGAACTTGAGCCAATTGAGTAAGTAGTTACCATTTAAAATAATATGAATTTTACACTTTTTATATATTTTTTTAAAAAATAAAATGTATTCAAATAATCTCGACTATTCAATTTTTGTGGCCCTACAACATCTACGGTTGTAATTTCTCAAGGATCAAAGGTCCTGGAGCGACTAAATTGACAGCCTTGCTAATATATTTGTTTTGAAGCCAGTAACGGCATTTTGTACTAATAATTATATTTTGGTTTATTCTTATAAAGTCCCTTAAAATAGTACTTTCCATTTAAATATCTTTTGCTACGAAAATAACCATATATATATATATATATATATAGATTTAGATCCCCAAATCGAAAATTTTCATTAATAATCACCCAAACCCACATATTTGGTCACAAATATATAGATTTATATTTGGTATTTTTTTTATGTCAGGTATGATGCAGAGGTTCATAAACAAGGAAGATGTATACTGCAATGATTTGTCATCAATGTATCCGATTGTAGTGTCCAATCAGAATAGTGGATCCACTGTGGGTACCACTGAGGGCCATGGACTTCTGATTTCAGTGCCAAATCAAAGTTTAGGAAAAGTGGTGCCTGTCGCCAATGGCTTGACTAACAACCAAGAGAAGAAGAACCTGGTCGTGAACGATGAAGCTGTATCGATGGTTCCACTTCCGGTAAAGCGGAATAAAAGAGCCGTAGAAGGTGAATTGGAACATGAGCATCATTTAATTAGTGAAAGGGAACGAAGAAAGAAGATGAAAAATATGTTTCATGATCTTGGTGATATGATCCCTCAACTTCCTCCAAGGGTAATTTTTTTTTTTTTTTTTTTTTTTCCGATCTTTTGGATATTTATTTATCATGGGTTATAGGATTGAAGTGCAATGGTATGAAGAACTTTGAGTAGATTCCATCATGGTATGCCAAGCTGCCTTGGATCTAGGGGGTGTGGATAAGACGAACATTTGAGATCTGTTTGTTAGTATTTGCTTCACATTGATCATCGTTATTTTATGGAAAATCGATTATAATCGATTTATGGTTTCAAAAGTCGGCATTATATTCCTTCGTGATATTGTCTTAGATTTTTTAAATATTGCAGAGAATTCTTAATTAAAAAAGGGATTTTGTGATATATTTTCGAAAAAACAAGGAAGTCTTATGCAATTTTTAAATCATAGAGGAGAATAATGCAGACTTTTTAAACGACAAGTTAATTATATGCAGTTTTACGTTATTTGTATTAGAGTGATTTAAGATATACCCATATACTCCAATTCTCGTAGTATATTAATTCTCCAACTATAGAGATCCACCAAATGTAGAGGTTCATGAACTCTTTGTAGTAAGTTCAAATTCTTTGTGTGTTATGTTTTATTTATTTATTCTTTTAATGATGTAAGAATTTGCATCTGCTATTTTTCGAGTGTTTTCTAAATAAATCTTTTTTCAAACCTAATAACATGCAAATAGGCTCGACAAGACAAGTCTTACTTGATGAATCATATTTCATTTCTTTGTTTGATAGATTATTTTATAATAATTTTTTCTTTAGATATTTATAGCATAGCTGTTGACAATAATCGATAATTTGTAGGAGAATTTTTTAATTTAAGTAATGAAATCAAATTTTTTTATTTAATATTCTTATATTTGGTAAGTACCAAACAATTAATATTATAATAATAACCCTCTCTTGTAATAATTATATTTTATTTATTCTTAGTATAGATTTATTTTTTTTTTCAATTGTGTCACATCTCTTATCATATCTCTTATTCTATTGTAAAAATAAATCATAGTATTATTTTGAATAATATGTTAGTATAGATTTGCATTACAATAATTAGAAGCATTATATATTTTTGATTATCTGAATAATTAATCATATACGATGAATTACTTAAAATTTCAATTATTATTATTATTATTATTTACTTGTATTACTATTAATTTAAAATATTAATTATTATAATGCCTCAAAATTAATGGGTGTACATGTTCGGTTTGTTTTTGTGTTCCTATTGCCTTTGTGTTTTAAGAGTGGTTTATCTTGTGTTACAAGGGAATGAATATTATATTTTTTTGACAAGTAAGCTAATTTTACAGTCATAAAACAAAAAACATTATTAAGGCAAAGAGATATTCTATTCCCAAGAGGGTAATTTCATAGTTCTGTAATTGTATGAAGAGAAAATCAACACATACAAACAATTAACTAATCATGATAATGAGGTGTGGAATTATTATGTATTACGTTTGTTTGCAGGCAGACAAAGTGAGAATAATAGATGAAGCAGTGGCGTACATACGGAAGATGCAGGAAGTCCTCCACAATCTGGAGAAGAAAAAGCTGGAAGAAGGTGAGAAGCAGAAGATGATAAAATCTGAATCTGAATCTGAATCCAGGATGATGAATTGCGCAGCAACAGTAGGTTTGAAGACGTGGGCATCTCCGAATGTGGTACTGACCGTTGCTGGAAATGAGGCACACTTGAGCATCTACTACCCCCGCACCAACCCCTACCCCTACCCCAAACCCCAACTGCTAACTGTTGTCTGCTTCCTCCTGCACAAGTACAACCTCTATCCGCTCTTTGCAAACATCAACACTACTGTCTGGGGGCGCATGCTCTTTTTCCATCTCCAGGTATCTAAATCTAATTGCTACTTTTATTTTTATTTTCTTTCTTAGTTATTATATATGTTTTTCTTAATCTTATCATGGGAATGGGATTTGCAGGCAATTGGAGTTCCAGATCACTTCCCTGCAGAGTCGCTTCTACTTGTGGAAGAAATTTACAAACAGGCTGCTTCTGATATCGTGGCCTGGATTAGTGCTTAATTACTTAAGATTTCTCTTTTTTATTTTTTTAGTTTAAGCGTCGAAGTTTCTATTGTTATTTCAAATTAAGTATGACTGTTTATTTATGCCGGACAACTATTGATGGTAGGAAAAAATAGTTTGGTCGTACATTTTGAACATTGAAGCTGCTAGTTTTCATATTGTCTATCAAATCAAATTTAGTACAATCTATCACCATCAATATATTGTTTTTATTTGAATTTACGTATGGATATTAGGATTTGCTTGTTTTTATTTTCATATGCTTTTCTTACTATAAAAAAGATATATGATTTTTTGTTATCTTGAAAAAGAAAAATATCATTCAGAGCACAAGCAACGGCCAAGTCTCCATTTAATCACCTTTCGCCAACGTGTCAAGGGTCTTCCAGCATATCAAGGTAGCTTCCGAGCCGTTTTTTATTGCTTCTCCCCTCTTGTCTTCCCTCCACTGCCATTCCCAATCCTCCGATCAGCTAATTCCTCCACAAATATTTGGGCTTAATTCTTCCGCCGATCCTAACTGCTCAGCACGCTGCTTCTTTTGCCCATGGTCTATTGCTTCCTAGGTCGCTGCCTCTTCTCAACTTGGGCCTCGTCTTACTTATTTGGGCTCGTCCACCAAACTATTTTCCTAGCCCAACATATTGTCCCCCTCCAAAAATAGGGAAAAAAATACAATATCAATTTTATCGTATTTCTAGATATGATAGGACGAAGACCACTGCCGCCGCACTGCCCAATATAGGGGAAAATATCACCTCAAGTCTCCCCAACTCTTCAAATTTTATTTTCATAACTTCCCACTCTTTCCATAAAACAACCGGGGCTTTTGAGAAGTTACCCAATACGTAGTCTTCTTCCCTCTACTTCCTCTTAGCTCTCCTCCTCTCATGGTTTCTGGAAAATCATCATCATCCGGCAGAAATTCTCCATACCAGGGCTCTGCCCCTCATTTGTCTATTTTGCCGCAATCTCTGCGCAACCATCTGCCACTTTCGGTGGGAGATCCACCTCCCCCCCCCCCCTTGAGATTTCTCCTTGTCAAAGACTTCTTCCCTTGGCAAAGGATAATGTTGATGCTGCTTCCCAGAAGGATTTCATTCTTGCGGCAGGTAACCTTCCGCTCACGTAACCGTGGTTGAATATTGATGCTTTCTCATATAGGTTTTTATATATTCTTAGTAACTTCACTAGTTTGGCCCATTGGTAGATAGATTAGCACCCCATTTCGGCCGTAGCTGGCGGAATTTAGGAATTCATGATATGATTTCTCTGTATGCTTATTATCTTCCCTGCGACAGTGAACTTATTAGGAGGGCTTTACTCTATTTTTAGGTTTCTCGATTGAATGTATTTTTTTTCTTTTTGGCATTCTAAGCCCCACAGTCCTCGATGTTGCTGTAATTTTAGGACGGCCTGTGAAAGGCTTAGAACCTCCACTTATAGCTTCCGAGATTTCTTCCTCCCTTGAATTCCCACGGCCGTATAATTACAAAACCACTTCAAATCAATTCATGATTCAAAACACATTGTTTGGTGATGTCGAGTCATCCAAGAATAATGCATTGTTTGGTTCAACAAGTAATTTGCTTGTTTTTCTTCTAAGGGGGTTGTTAGAGAAGCTGAACCAATTATGCAGACTATTATATTTAGGCAAATGATAACTCCAAACAACAATATATTTTTCGCTTAACAAATTTGTGTATTACTTGAACTTTTATGTAAAAACCATCACAATATCTTATTTATGGCATACTTTATTGATTTGCTTTGCTTGGCATATCCAAAGCCTGTTTGTTGAAATTATTAACATTTTTGGCATGTTTAAGCGATGTTTCTAGACCAGAAAAGCTAAGTGCTAAAAGTCAAGCGACGGCACTCTGACTTGGCAAGAGACGCTCTTACCACTTGCGCCAATGGTAGCGACCAGACATTCGTTGTTGCAGAAGCGAGATTGGACTACTCCAAATTGACTAAGTGTTGATCTCTTAGCGGTCAATCCATTTCACTACCAGTCAGCTACGGTAGCATATTTTGAGTTGCGCTGATGCCCTCCAGCCATCTAGGCAGGCGAGGAAGATTTGCGCCCTTACATTCTGAAGCGAGTGAAGCGGCAATCAGGGATTTATGGCTGGTGCAACTACTACAACAGATTAAGTGCCATCAACCGCCTAACTGCCCAGCAGTTTCAATTGTCGTTCAATTGTTCTCCAATTTCCGATCTCACAGACCTATAAATAGGGATATATACCATCTGTAGCATATTATCACCACAAGATTCATTACTTTCAATCCTAGTTTTTCTGCAGATTTTAGTGCTTTCCAAGAGTTCTCTAGATAGCAATAGCCAAGGGAGTTAAGATCTTCTCCTCCTCTAGCCGCAATAGTTTACTGTTTTGGTTCAGAACTTTGATTATTGCTTTTGTAATGTAGGATCTTTATTGTTTTCTTAGTTATTAATGAAATATCAAGATTTTTTCATATTCACTTCCACCCATGCTTTATATTTGTGTCAAAATGTTATGATTAGAATTCTATTTCCCTATGGAAGAACAGAGAAGAATCGACTATCTAAGTCTAGTTTTGTGTCGTATTCATTAACAAATTCTAGGTAGTCCAATGTAGTTAAGTACGTAGGAACCTTGTCGACCTTCTTAGCTATTGTTCTAAATTCAATTCTGATTAAAGAAAGGTAACATAAGGGTAAAGCGATTAATGAAACAGAGATTAGGATAATTAATAAGGCATATGCGTTGGTCTATTGGGTCACTGAAATTTATTGTAACAGTATAATTTCTTACTTATAATATTATGATTCTGGGTGCCATTGAAGTTTTTCTGTAAATCCCTTAAGATCAAGTACCAGCGAAGTCAGTTTCTGTGTTAATCATTTTATGCAATTACATTTACTTATTCTATCATTACGTGTTATAATATATGTTTTTCTTACTCATTATCATCATTTGTTTATTACATCATTGAGAACGTAGCCATCTAATAACATACATATCAGAAAACATTACTTAGTCTTCCTTATTGCTCACCTAATGACAATCATGGATGTATATAGTCCGCTCCCTTCATCCGCTCGCCCTTACTCGCCACCACTCTCACTGCACTCATTGTCGCATAGTGCCTCCACTAAATCTCACACCACCCGCTCACCATTACTCGCTTTACTTTAAATATTGTATTAGTTCAACTCTTTGGCTCCCTCACGAGCGAGCCAGCCTTACTGTTTTTTCACGGCACTCAATTTGTATGAAATTCTTATTAAATTTTACGACTTAAAATCCCTATGTTCGACCTGAAAACTCACTAGTAAAAAGACTATAAATAATTTTGATAATGTGATTCAGGGTCTACAAATTCATTTACATTATCTATATTTGAACATGTCCAATAAAGCACACTTCACTCAAGAAACTCCAAAATAAGTTCCCTGTTTTAATTTCTAAAATAAAAAAATTTGCAGACCAAGGAAATAATGCCGCTCCTCTTTTTGGAAAATTTACCAGAGAACGGACAATGACCAACCAAGAAAACAATGCCGCCCCTGCCACCGATGTCTCGGCTTTCCAGACTATTGTTGGGACATCTTCCAACTTTGCCACATCTGCATTTTTGCAGAAGATGCCGCTTCATGTTACACTGAGCCTAGCCGTCCCATATCATGACGACTTCTAACGAGCAGACTATTAGGACGCTGACAAGTATCCAGCAGGGGATGGCTGGAATGCAGGTGTACCTTGCTCAGGTTGAGCAGGCTCAGGCCGCCTAGGCTGCATTCATCGTTGCTCAAGCAACCTAAGCCGCTCGCACCGCTGCAAATTCTGCTACCTCTACCACCACCTACCGTTGAGCCCCATCAGAGGCAAATTCAGGGACACAGGGCTGCTGATTGCCCAATTGCTGAAATTCTCATGGATATTCACTATCATTTCCTAATGAATAATACTTTAATTAGCATTTATGTGCCCAGAGGCTCTGGCAACTATGAGGTGAAGCAAGCGCTGGTAGGCCTGGCCAGCCAGAGTCCATTCTATGGGCTGCTTAAAGAAAGCCTTTATGAGCATCTTCAGAACTTTAACAGGATCGCGGCCACCTTCAAAACCCATGGCATTACGGAGGATACTGCCAAGCTAATTTTGTTTCCCTTCACTTTACCAGGTGAAGCCAGGAAGTGGTTCGAATCGCTCTACCCAATTCCTAGAACATTCAAAGAAGCAGCACAAGCCATCGTCAGCAAATATCATCATGTATCTAAGACCATCAGTCACCGGAACAAACTTCTCAACTTCAAGAAGGCTGCAGATGAGACCCTGTCCAAGGCTTGGAGTCACTACAAGCAGCTGCTCCGCAATTCCCTCACCATGAGACTCCTGACTTCATGGAGCTCCAGATCTTCTATTCAAGGATCGCTCATGAGTTATGGATGTCTCTGGATGCGGAAACGGGTAGTTTGCTCATGGGACAATGTACCTCTGAAACTAGGGCCTTGATAGTAAAAATTGCGGCCAATCGAACAAGCTGGCCGAAAGCAAGCAGACCAGAGCCATCCAGGGGTCTATACCAGGTTCCTGCTACTATTTCACAAGACATGCGGATAGACAATCTGTCTGTCCAGATCAAAGAGCTAGCTAAGCTAGTGAAACAGGATTTATCTGGTAATAAAATAAATAGGTATTCAATGAAGTCGTGGCCACTGATGAGTGCGTTTATGTTGACTAATCTAGTCTGCAGGTTGCTGAGAGCTCAGCTGAGTAGACTCAGAACCCAGTGGAGATCTTTTACATGGCAAATAAAAATCTTCCTCAGTACCAGGAGTTCCAGAAGGGGCAACCCCAAAGGCCTACCAATCCGCGCCCTCAACAACAATTTTATTAGCCACAATAGTTCACTGTGCCACAATATTATCAGGGGGATACTATCCGCAACAACCTTATTATCAGACCCTCAACCTTCTGCAGTAGGCACATGTCTTTGCCTAGCCTCCCACAACGACAAGTCAGCCGCTGAGTTTGGAGAAATTATGAAGAAATACCGAGCGGGCAAATCAGGAGTTCTAGAGGAATACATCTGCCTCGATCAAAATGCTGGAGATCCAAGTCGGGCAGATA